GATGTTGTTGTAGGAAGCAGCCAAGTCGGGATGATTCGGAGGGAGAGCTATTTTTTGGATTTCAAGTGATCGTTCGTACGATGAAAGTGCTTTTGAGTACTCGCCCATGTTATGATACACCAACCCGATGTTGTTGTAGGAAGAAGCGAAACTGAGATCATTTGGAGAGAGAATGTTCTTGTTGATATCAAGTGATTTTTCGGAATAGAAAAGTGCTTTCGAGTACTCGCCCATGTTAGCATACACCCAGCCAAGTTGATGATTGTAATCTGCTCTATCTTTATCAGAAGACGCCTTTGCGAGGAGAATTTGATAGAGTTGTTCAGCTTTTGCAGGTTCGCCCACTTTAATAAGTATGAAACCAAGTCGAGACCATCCTGTGCGCCCACCAAGTTCCTCACGTATGTGTGCTGTAAGTGTGTTCAATTCGTGATTGTCATTACCCACAATAGAGAGAGTGACTTCGTATAGCCGATCAGAGTGATTATCGTGAATTTGTTCAATGCGATCGATACGAAAAATCGCATGTGTTGAAAATAGTATTTCTTCCTCTTTATCTTTGTAGTAGCCAACTTTGCTTACTTCAGCAAATGGTGTTGAGGAGTTTGTGGAAATAGCCGTATCAATGTTCATAATGAAGAGAATACCAACTGAATTGGGATTGTTTGTAACTGGTCGTGCAAAGTTGTTGAAAGATATCTCACGGTTGCGACTTGTTGACAGAAAATTATTAAAGGACATAAGTCCTCCTTTGGTTTTTTTCATTTTTTCAAAATCTTCCATGGACAAACCTTGTCCACGAAAGACTTGAAATTTTGCTGGCATGTTTCCTTGTTGTTCAGAATGTAATTTTGTAATATGCTGATGCAGATGTCGGATGAAAAAGCCCATCTTCAGAATAATATCAACATCCATTTGTCGAAGACCACAATTAAGCATTGAGTAGATAAAATATGGACCTGTGTACCACCAAATGGGTGAATGATTACGATATTCTTCTTCAATCTTTTCAAGTGTTTTTTCGGAAGCATCGCTTTGAAGGCGACAGTATTCAACAAGTTCTTTAATCGATTTGACATCGTCATCTTCGATCTCCAAGAGTGCTTCTTTTAGCAATTGTGTATACATAAACAACGGATCAATACGATTAAAACTGATCGAGATCATATCTCGATCACAATTTCTTCTATCGATTTGTAATACGTCACAAATCGGTTCAATTTGTGTGTACACACCTTTTACCTTATGTATTGCTTTGGCCCATTCCTCGTGAGTCGATTGATTGTCACATAAAACATAAATGGAAGTTAATTGTGAGCATTCTTGAATTACCGGTATTAGATGTTGTCCCAGGGCACCAGAGATGATCATAAATACATTTTCATTTTCAATATCACTTAGAAAATCAATACATTCATCAATGTCTGTAAATGTTGTCACTGTTTCTAAAATATTTCGTAAATGTTGTGTTGATATTTTATAATTGTCTTTGGATTCGTCGAAATCGGTATCAAGCCATACCAGCAGAGAGTTTTGACGCTCTCGACGCCTAGGTCGAGACAACACAGCAGCAGCACGATTGTTCGCGTTGGTAATAGCGGTGGTGCTAGGTGTCGCTGCTGCACCACTGGTAACAGTTGTTGTCGATTTTTGTTTGCTCATTGTAATTGAACGAATGAATACAATCAGTGAAATGAAGTCCCCTATATTTATAATTGTTAAATTTTTTGTTGGTTAACATCATTCCTTTTCTGACTTGTGGCTACAAACTTCAAGAACCTCTACTATCTGGTTCATTTTTGTTTCAAGAGTGTTACTGACAAAATGATGATAACGGATGGATCAAGTCTCTACACATCGAACCATAAATAAAGAAGAATGACTAAGCAAACAAATAGTCGCTGAGGATGGACGACATGACTAGTCCGAAATGTCGAAAATACCTGTCTTAACTAGTTATCCTGACATGAAAACTCCTGCAGCTACGTCTGAACTAGTCCAGAATGTCCTCAAACTTCGACATGTCTAACCCGTTTCTCTATCTAATCAATCCAGATTAGTCGGTAGACCAGAAAAAGAGTATTTCTAAAAGTAAAAATTGTGCCTTTCATTACTGGTACTCGCGTTGAAATTTATGCATAGAAACAGTTACTCTGTTTAATATGTTTTACAATAAGATTGTTTTATACATACAAGATTCTGCAACCAAGACAATCGATTGCATGTTCTGAGTATTATCAAGCGAAGTTCTCTTAAAACTACTTTATAAACATAAAAATAACACATGTTTATGTATCGTCATTTTTTTTGTGTGTAGCTACTCTTTACTTTTAACTTTAATTTTCTTACTAGTCTAATAATGTTAGAAACTAAATATACTTACGTGCTATGTAATATTGGAGTGTAGCAAATTTTGTTTTGTGTGCTTGCAATCGATTTTATTCTGTATTTATTATTGACAAAATTACTTGGTTTTTTTCCACAAACGTATATTTACATGAATCAATGAAGCATGACTTTTTCATCATGTAAACGACTTTTTCGACCATGTGTTCGTCATAAAATACGTTTCGTTTTTCATATATTCTACTTCTTCCTTTTTTACCTTACCTTTGCGTTTCGTGTTGTTGCAATGATAAAAAATACACTGATGCTTGTATAAGCGTAAATTTGAGTAATGATGATTCATTAGACTTTGAACTTTATTCTAATCTCTATATAAATATTTTCTATCGTAAAATTTTTTTTGAAATTGATAATTATAGAAGTAGTGTTGAAAGCTTCAAAATAAATAAATGAAAAATTTTATATTTTTTATTTTATCGTTCGATGTATGAAAAACTCTATTTATCACTCAAACTTCGTTAGATGCATCCGAAGAAAGTATGGCGAATATGCTTTAAGAAGACTCAGGCATTTTGAGAAGTGGGTGTGAGTGTTTGTATTGCTTATCCCTACACATCCCGACCCTCAATTATTTGGTTTAAAATCTAAGAATTTCAATCATAATCAAGCAATAATCAACAATCAATGAATAGAAGTAAAAATATTGATACAAATCAACAACATCTTTCAATCAGTATTCAACAAATAATGAATGATTTTAATTTCAATGTAAATCTTTTTTTAGTGTGTTGATATGGTATGTTATATTTTTTTACAACATAATGATCATAATGTTGTATCAAGTTCATTGGAAACACATGAAATTATACTTAAATATTCAAATTTATTTGATTTTGATCAATTATTAATTTCAACCCAAATTGGATCTATAGAAGAAATTCGTGTTGGTGAAGCCTTAAAAACAGGTAAATATTGAGGAAAAAAAACAAGAATTATTTTTTCATCTTTTTTTTTTTTGTAAAACAATAGCTTATTCAACATATCAACGTTGATTTATTGAAATGAATGATAAATTCGATTCAACATCAATGATTAATAATGAAAAATGAATATCAGCTGCTAAACTTGTTAATCAATTATATTTTTTCCGATTAGATATATGCTTAATATGGATGGCACGATAAAAAGTGATGATGAATCATGTATTAGTGTTAAATGTGCTATACCAATATGTCTATCGTATTTATAAACAATTTGATCCATTTGTTTATCTTACTGAAAGTATGTTTAATTCTTGTTTGACTTTTTTTTATAATCCAAAATTATTTCTAATGTCGTAACAGTAGGAGGGCCTAGGTGAAGGGGATTGTGGCAGAGTTTAGTTGACGTGGCTTCAATTGGTTAAGGTCTCAAAGTTTTAGTGAAAGTTATCTGATAGATATGACAATTTCACTATTAAATTGTTGAAACATATATATATATATTGGAATCTGAAAATTCAAGAACGGAGATTTCTGAATATTGATTCAGCAACTCTAGTCCTATTCCTACTTTTAATTTTTTTGAAACCAACAAAAGACTAGAACATTATCGGACTCGAAAAGATATCAAGTAGAACACTTTATTGAAGCTCAAAGCCTGCATTTATACATCAGAGATTGAAATTATACAATCACATAACTACCTCAAAAAATAGTTCTAAGCTGACGTTCGGGATATGAAATCAATTGTATTCTCTAAGGAGTTTTCTTTACTCTTTGAAGATTTCTGATTAGATATAATTTTGTAATTAAAATTGAATTCTTTAAAGGAAAAAATGAAATTCACATCTCTATAGGACTTGTAATACATTAAAATTTATCGAACATCAAGGTATCTTTTTTTTCTTTTCTTTAAGATATTACATATCTTTTATCTTTATGTGAACACGGTGATCTACATTTACGTGGTGCATGTGCAAATTTACTTGTTACATTAATTAAAACAACAATTCATCTTTTAACACTATTGTCATTATCAAATTCATTTAATAATTCTTTTATTAATCAATATTCACTTGTATCAACTGATTCACAAGACAGTTCAAGGTTATATGTCTTAATGATAATAATGCACGTGTTATACATGTTTCACTAAATGCTTTACGAACATTATTACCTTTTTTATTAATAAATAGTCATGGATTTACAATCATAGGAATTGAATTATTAGAAGATTCTATTCAACATACTACAAGTTCCTATGTTCTTGCTAAAGTAGATAAAACAAAAATATGATTATAATAATTTTTTTTTGTATGTATATAAAATAGTTTGCGCTAGCTCAACTTATAGATGATATTGATTTTCGAATATTAACTTATCTTGAACAACAATTAAAGCAACAGTACCCTGATATACGTGTTCGTCAAGCAACTGCTTCGACTTTTGCTAAGTATGTATTTTGTAGAGATAATAACTACGTAGCTTTTTTCGAATTTGGATGAATAAGTCGATTTTATTGCATTAAGCTAGTTATTAGTTACTTTTTTGATTTTAAGGTTTTGTTGATCACAATTCATTTTTACTATGTCAATGGATATATAAAATTCATCATTCATTACAAGCTCAAGCATCAACTCGAATACAAATTGTTTGTTATGTTTTGTCTTTTATATAGGTTGGATGTTTAGAAGATATTTATGTTCTTTCAAATGTTTTATGATCAACAACAATTCGACCAATTTTTTCATAATCAATATGATGAACTTCGTTGACTTATGCATTTTTTTAAACATTCCTTTATATTACATGATCTTAATAATTTAATCTTTTCAAGTAGAGAGAAAAAAAAAAGATATTTATTATGTTTTTTTTTTAATTCTTTCTTTTTATTTGAAGATTTATCAAATCTCAGCAAACGAAAAAATGTTTTGAAAGTAGCACAAATGATTCAAGTAATTCGAAAAATTGAACTATTTTATCATCATTCTTTTGAACAGAATATAGTTGATATTTCAGTTTTCACAGAAGAAAGGAGTTCTAAAGTGTTAGATTTGAAGAATATATTTGACCATGTTTCGTCTGAATGAATTCATTTGTTTTTTTCTTTTTAAAGAGAATGATAAAGATTCATCAACAACATCAAGCACAGAGAAAGTTAAAAAAGTTAATCATGCACAATTAGATACTTTTGGAAATTATTCGAATTAATATGTTCATAATATCAAATACATAAAAGTTTATTAAATTCATCAGAAATGATTATTATTGTCTATGAAATCAGTTCTAAGTCTTATTTCTACACAAGATTTATCAAAAAAATTTGGAAGAAACACTTAATTATTTTAAATCAACATTCAATGTACACAAGAGGTAACTTCTTTTAAATAGTAAATATTTATTGTTTAAGCTAAAACCTTTAGGATGTCGTATTGTGTCTGAAACTTGTCTATGGATAAAACTTTAGATGGAAATCTTATAACGAAGGTTTCTGGAAGGGTCTTTCCTTGAGAAGGAAAATTTCAATATAAGAATGCCATAGTAACAGAAAAACTGATTTTACGAATATCGGCGATCTTAACGAGAGTAGTTTTGTTGTGAAAGAGTCAGATCTTTTGATTGGGTTCTATCTTTAAATCCGAATATTAAATTCAGCTAGTTTACGTGAGCGATCTGCAAGACACACTATCAATTCGAAATTTGAAAATCATTTTTTCTGTTAACATAACATTCATGGTGACCGTACAATTCGTCGCACGACAATTCGTCGCGTACAATTCGTCGCGAACAATTCGTCGCACGATCAATTCGTCGCACGACAATTCGTCGCAAAACAATTCGTCGCACATGTATTGTAGAGAATACATTGATTGAATTAAGTAATTTAGTTTAAAATGTTATACAATTAATTGCCTTAAAAAAAAACTTTTGTTTAGACTCATAAGAATCTTTTTTCATAATACAATGATTTTCTCAAAAATAAAATAGAGATATCAATTTAAAGCCTATTTTAAAATTTAATTAAAAAAATTGAAGCTTGATTTTGGATAAAATTCTATGTACACAAA